AAAAAAAAAAAAAAAAAGAAAAAATGCCATTGAATGTAGATGCATAGATTATATCTGTGTTCTTCATTTTGCTCCATTGTTCTACACACTTTTCTTCATGCCAACATCATGCTGTTTTGTTTACTATAGCTCTGTAACATATTTTTAAGTCAGGTAATGTGATATTCCTGTTGTCTCTATATATCTTAAAGTCTCGAGACAAGGGGCAACACATACAAAAATCGCGGAGAAGAGAATCCCAGGACTCCCAGAGCCAGTGTTGGATAACAGAGTGTTGGCCATGAACCAACCTCAAAGATTTCCCCTGAGTAGAGGACAGGCACCCTCATTTCCTCACCTCTCTCCTGTCTCTATTCTAGGAAACCCGTCAAGTAGTTGGCCTTCACCCACTGAACCAAGCTGCAAAACCAGTGAGTAAAGAATCCCTCTTATCTCAGCTTTTGGAAACCTGGGGAGGTGTAAGCCTTGGATTCAAGCCTTCGCTCAGCACCTCCCAGCGCTGATTGTGGGCCTGTCTTCCACCATCTCTCTGAACTCCAGACACTCCAAAAGTAAAAGGGATCTTGGCCCAGCACAGGGCTCAGTGAAGTCTCTTAATCTCTAATCTTCTGCAGCTGAGACCTCCTACAAGCTGGAAGAATGACTGCAAATCTGACATCCTTCTCAGGAAAAATGCAGTGTTTGTTCTCCCTGCATTCCTAACTGGAGGATAAATTCCTGGGGGCTTGAAAGAGGGAAGGGAAGGGAACATCTAATGAGGGCGAGGTGTTTCAGAGAAGTTCCACTTGCCAAGGAATGAACTCCTGTTGGTCATGAGGCAACCCTGGCTGACTCAGCAGAGCAAGAGCCTTGAGTAACAGAGAACAGAGCTCATGCACGCACACTTCGACTCACTGACTCATTCAGCCATGGCTCCATGCTCAGGCTGTGCAGTTGGAATCCTTTCCTACTATTACCATAACAAATTTCCACAAAATTGGTGGATGAAAACAAAACGACTTTTTAATTATCTTACAGTGCTGTAGCTCAAAGGATGAAATGCACCTCACTGAGCTAAAATCAAGGTGACAGCAAGGCTGCCTTCCCTCTGAAGGTTCCAGGCAAGAATCTGCTTTCCACATGTCCCAGTTTCTAGAGGCTCCCACATTCCTTGGCTCCTGGTCCCCTTCCTCCTTCCTCAAAACTCACAAAGACTGGTCACGTCTCACATGGCATCACTCAGACCCTTCTTCCTTGTCCACGCCTCTTTCTCTGAATGTTCCTCTGCTTTCTTCCTCATCTCTTAAGGACTTTGGGATTTTATTGCGTTCACCAAGATAATCTTCATCATCTCCCTAATATCATCTAGGATACCCTCCTTTTCAGTTCAGCTGATTAGCAACCATAATTCCATCTGCAATCTTCATTCCTCTTTTCTACGTAAAATCACATATTCCCAAGGTATGAAGGCTAGGACAGGGACATTTTTGGGGTGGGGTGGATTCTCCTGCCTTCCACAAATAGTAAACAGGATGCATTTGGCCTGTGCTCTTGGGACACTGACGTTGCAGATGGGTAAATGGGAGGAAAAAGAGAATGAATGCACAAGTGGACCTATAAATGGCTGATCCATTGGGAAACATTGGTGCATGAAATCTATTTATTTATGTATTTATTAATTATGTATTTATTAAGTCAGAGTCTCGCTCTATCCCCTAGGCTGGAGTGCAGTGTCATGATCTTGGCTCACTGCAACCTCCACCTCCTGGGTTCAAGTGATTCTTCTGCCTCAGCCTCTCGAGTAGCTTGGATACAGGCACCCGCCACCACACCTGGCTAATTCTTTTTGTAGATTTTTGGTAGAGACGATGTTTCACCATGTGGCCCAGTCTATCTCCAACTCCCAATCTAAAGTCATCCGACCGCCTCAGCCTCCCAAAGTGCTCGGATAATAGGCGTGAGCCACGGCACCCAGCCAGAATTTAAACTAAATAACAGATAATGCTGAGTGTCTGATTTCAGGTCACAGAGAAGTTCTCACTGATCAAATAATACTTGTGATCTTAATGAAAAAAATAGATCAACCCCTGGAAGACTGGCGGAAGGATTTTCCACACACAGCTGTCAGCCGTGAAGGCACGAAGGTGAAAACAATCTTATGTGGAAGGAAACGGCTCTGCCTGAAACGCTGGGAGTGAGATGGGAGAATTACAAGACCACTGGAGAGAGAGGAGAGCACACTGGGCACACAGGAAACTAAGGAGGACAAGGAGTGTGTGTTTTATACGCACAGCCCTTGGATTCACCTCGGGCTAACTAGGAATCCCTACGTGATTTATAGTGACTGACATGAACATAAGGGAAGCCCAGGTGCATAACTGGAATCTAGGAGACTGTAGAAAAGGCAATTCCCACCTCACTGGTGAAATGTGTTGCGTATTTAGACACTAAATGAATGAAGTAGATGGATACAACATGTCTATGTGAGGTAGAATAATTCGCAGGGAGGGCTTGCCTGGTTTGATTTTTCCTAATTGTTCAATCTTCACTTCATTAATTTCTTTCTGAGATTTATTTTTCCTACATGTAAATCAATACCTGGCAGAGGACTGATTGATACATGAGGTGTGGTGCAAAGGAAGAGACTTATTATAATATAACACGCAAGGTTGTGAACGGTGGCTCACACCTGTAACCCAACATTTTGGGAGGCTGAGGCGGATGGATCCATTGAGGTCAGGAGTTCAAGAACAGCCTGGACACTATGCTCAAACCCAAGTCTACTAAATAAACAAAAACTAGCTGGGTGTGGTGGCGCAGGCCTGTAATACCAGCTATTCGGGAGGCTGAAGCAGGAGAATGGCTTCCACCCGGGAGGCAGAGGTTTCAGTGAGCCGAGATCGCATCATTGGACTACACCCTGGGTGACAGAGTGAGACTCCATCACAGAAAATAAAAATACAAAACTCATAAATGTAATATAACATACAGGAATGACAAAGGCACTTCAATCCCAATTATCATTTTTCTATTTCTCTATAACGACTTCTTTGATCCTTTATCTTATCCATTAGAAAATCAGCCGAAAACATCTTCTCTGTTTGCTTTCCGTGAGCCTGAGATCGTATGGAAAATATGAAAGGCCCCTGAACCCACCAGCACAGGCCCTGGAATAGAGAAAGTTCTCTGTTCATGGCATAAAACTTGCCCCCTCACCCAAATCCCCCACCTCACGCCTACTTCCTATCACATTAAGAGACACAGCTAGACGGTGGGAAGGTAAAAACTAACATTCTTTGGAGTTCAGATTTTGGACTCAGAGACCAGCGCCAGCACCATCTCCTGGTCACCTTTTGTAGGAATTCACAGAAGGACAGGTTGTACCGAAGCAATAGATGATGGAGGGGGTTGTCCTTCCTCCGGACTCTCAGGTAGAACAGCAGCCTAATATATGACTCCCGAGATCACAAAAAGTAGCACGTTGTTCACCAGTTTCATCATTATTTCCTGGCTGTTGGATATATGACAGTTCTACTTCACTTTTTTGATCTTGATTTCACGTTATGCCTTTTCTTGCCGAATATAATGTGTTTGAGTCAAGAGGGTTGTGGCTGTAGAAATTGTAAAGCACATTCACTGTGTATCAATCCCAGTCCAGTCTTCCCAGAGAAGACTCTAAACACCTCCTGTACTGCACCTGGGGCTATGCCAATTTCTATCCCTCACCGTCACTCCAGGGAGACAGAACACACAGAGAATACATTACATAAGGTGGGTTCATTACTAACACATAAGCAGCAAGTGACAACAGAAGCCTACATTTCAATGTGAGCTAGTCCCCCAAGGCTCAGAAAAGCTGCTCGAGACATATGGAGTCACCCCATTTGCACTGCAGCTGGGGGAACCCAGAAAGCAGCCCGGCCTGGGTTTTGTACCCTGGAGCCACAGGAAGCACTCAGCTAAAGCACTGCATGGCGTCCTCCTCTGGCAAGAACAGGAAGACAGCCCAGCTGTTCTGGGACATTCCTCCTGATCTCAGGACGTTGCTGTCTTAGTCCATTTTTGTGGCTGTAAAAGAACACTTGAGCCTGGGTAACTTCTACAGAAAAGAGAATCGGTCGACTCACGGTTCTGCAAGCTGTACAAGAGGCAGGACACCAGCATCTATTTCTGGCTGCGGCCTCAGGCTGCTCCTACTCTGGTAGAAGAGAAGGGGGCTTGCATGTGCAGAGACCACCGAGATCACACGGCAAGACAGGGAGAAAGGGGGTGTGATGGAGCTTCCAAGCTCTTTTTAAGAACCAACTCTCCAGAGTACTAATAGAGGGAGAATGTGCTAACCCCGTCGTGTGGGGCAGCATTAATCTATTCATGATGGATCCACCCCCATCACCCAAACACCTCCCGATTGGCCCAACCTCTCACACTCAGGGTTAAATTTCAAAGTGAAGCTTTGGGGGGTCAAATATCCATACGATAGCAGGTGTCTCATCGGCACATTCTGTGGTTATTATGAAAACTATAACTGAGAAAGCAGGAGAAAGCTGGGTCTCCCACCACGTGGGTGCTTGTCCTAAAGACATGTTTTATGGGGTTGCCTGGCAACCAAGAAATGAGAGACAATCCACAAAGAGGAACTGCTATGGTGAGCTTCTCATTGGATTTCCATCTTCCTCCAGGTATCATCAAACACCTGCCTATTGTGATTAGGTACTCGGTGGCCACCATCATCTTCACCATCCTCCTCTTCTTTCTCCTTCGTCGCTGGTGCTCCGACAAAAAGAGTAAGTCTCGCGAAGCAGAGGCCAGAGACCTCAGGGCCGTGTGGGGAGGAAGGATGAGGAGGGATGGTAGCACGCAGGTGTGTGTTCCTCACCAGCAGGATGGTCTCTGGCCCAAGGCAGGAGCCACAGAGGCAGAGCTTTCTAGAGAGAGCACCAGACACCCTGTCCCTGCCTTCAGCTCACAGACCATTGCTTGATTCTCAACTGTATCCTCATGTCCCTGCAGCCACCGACATCCAGGAGAAGGTTCCATGACAGGCAGAAAGTGGGAGGCAGAGTCACTGGGATGGGAACTGACAGCTCTTCATGGGATGGGCCTTGCACTCAGAGAGATAGAATGTCTGAGTCTGGCTGTTGGCAGCTGAGGGACCTCAGGCACCTACAGTCTCCCCCAGTGTGTTGGTATCTGCACATGAAATGAGGACCCAGACGTGCCCTCCCAGCTGTTTTGATGACTTCTGTCTCCTACAGATGCTGCTGTAATGGACCAAGAGCCTGCGGGGGACAGAACAGTGAACAGGGAGATAGTCCTCCTCTCCCCAGCCTCATGGATATAGTCTTATTCCCTACTAGTCCTGAGGAACGTGAGCCCCTCCCTCACTCAACATTTCCCTCTCTCCAGGACTCTGATGAACAAGACCCTCAGGAGGTGACATACGCACAGTTGGATCACTGCGTTTTCACACGGGGAAAAATCACTCGCCCTTCTCAGAGGCCCAAGAGACCCCCAACAGATACCAGCGTGTACATGGAGCATCCAGATGCTGAGCCCAGATCGTTGTCTCCAGCCCAGGAGCACCACAGACAGGCCTGGAGGGGTCTTCTAGGGAGACCACAGCCCTGTCTCAAAACCGGCTTCACAGCTCCAATGTACCAGCCGCAGGAATCTGAAGTCTCGACACTGCATCTTAGAGCATTGCTCTTCCTCGCACCACAAATCTGCTGGCTCTGTCTTGCTTACCAACGTCTGCGGTTCCCACTGCCTGCTGGAGAGAAAACGCACTCCTTTGCTTAGCCTACAATTCTCCCCTTCACTTGACCCCTGCCCACTTCTCCAACCTAACTGGCTTACTTCCTAGTCCTACTTGAGGCTGCAGTCACACTGAGGAACTCACAATTCCAAACATACAAGAGGCTCCCTCTTAACACGGCACTTAGACTCATGCTGTTCCACCTTCCCTCATGCTGTTCCACTTCCCCTCAGACGATTTTTCAGTCTTCTGTCATCAGTAAACCTTATAAAAATTTGTTGTGATTTCTATGTAGCTCTCTCCTCTTCAAATAAATGTGTCTGCCTCATTCTTTAGGTGACTCTTTTTTTGCCTAAAGTTTCCGGTGTTATCATTACTATGTCTATATAGCCCCATATGTCCTCCACTGGGTTCTCACCCCTGGACTCTGAGCTTCTGGAAGCAGGTGGAGCCTGATTTGTCTCTAGGACTCCAATTTCCATCCAACGATGCAGCATATATGAGGTTCCAATGATCATGAATCAGAGGAACAAGTGATATTCTTACTCTCTGCAGACCTGGAAAGCTGGCAGAGCCATTCCAAGATGAAACATCTGTAGAGTCATAGGCCTTGTTAGTCTCATCTCCACGGGGACACATGTCCACACATCATCTTTCATACCATAAATACACAGTGGCTCCTCTAGATCTGTGGGGTTTACAGGTGTTTATTGAACCAGCTATAAATCAAATATATTCAGAGAATAAATCTGCAAAGTTTCGAAGAGCAAAACTATGTTGAATGGACACAAATGGAATGGTGTGTAGGCTGTGTCAGGAATTATAAGTAATCTAGAGATGATTTCATGTATACAGGAGGATGAACATGGGTTATATGCAAACGCTGTACCATTTTATGTAAGAGGCTTGAGCATCTTCAGATTGTGGTATCTCAGCGGAGATCCTGAAACCAATCACCCACGAATAGTGAAGCACGACTGTATCTAACTTTTATTTCTCAATTTTAAATATGAATCATAAAAAATTTACAATAACAAGATAAAAAACAAGAAGTGTTTTATAGTGTGAGAGCACGTTTAGATTTATTTTTTTCTATGCGTAACCTTTCAGCCCGTGTTATCTATGGAGAAGACATTCTATTCCTCCTTAAACCACACGACAGCCTTTGTCAACTCTAACAGAGTTGTGTGTACACGGATGTATTTTAGACACTGTTTTCCAATGAGGGGCTCTCTGTACTCTCTCTCTTGAGGATGCTGCACATTATGTAGGCTTATACAAACCCTTAAAATTTGGTAGCTGGAGTCCTCTACTTTTTTATTATAGGCTATTTGCTAGGATTTTTAAAATATTTCTTGAGGCGGAGTCTCGCATTGTCGCCCAGGCTGGACTGCAATGGCACGATCTTGGCTCACTGCAACTTCCACCTCCCAGATTCAAGCGATTCTCCTGCCTCAGCCTCTTGAGTAGTTGACATTAGCTCGCCACCAGGCACAGCTAATTTTTGTATTTTTAGCAGAGACAAGGCTTCACTAAGTTGGCCAGGGAGGTCTCGAACTCCCAACCTCCGTTGATCTGCAAACTTCGGCTTCCCAAAGTGCTGGGGGACGCTTGATTTTCTATAGCATTATGCTACTGGATATTTCCATACAATTTAAATGAAGGACGCAGAGAGACAGAGAGAGAGTGAACCATAAGTTCGGGGCTCTGGACTCTTGGGTCATGAGACAAATTGTAGATAAAATGACAAAAATCCAGAATTGACATGTTGTGGGTTTTGCTGATGAAGAACAGTTCTAAGATTGTAAATAATTGCATAATCCTTCCCTGGGTATTTAAATCATTTAAACTGGTTCTGCTGTCATACTAGAAATACAACCATGAAACATCCTTATGGTTTATTCGTCACAATTATTCTGACAACATTCATAATACCTATTAGATATTTTGCATATTACACACGAAGAAGAGTTTGAAACACAGATAAAAACAACAAAAATACGTGAAAAGTCTTTCTCGTCAGCACAGATTTTAGTCACCTCGTGTCCGGGAGGTTGGATCTGAGACGTGTTTTGAGCTGATCATAGTGAAGGACACAAGGTGTCAGTTCTAGTGAGAACCATTTCCAGAAAGCCATTTTCCACTCTTGAGTGAGCACCCGCTGCACCTCATGCAAGGTAGGAAGAGCCTGCGTACGTCACCCTCCCATGATGTGGTCAGCACGTCAACTGCACGGGCAGGGCGCCAGATAACATCCTGTGCGCTGCTGAGCTGAGCTGGGGTGCGGCCGCCTGTCTGCACCGGCAGCACCATGTCACTCATGGTTGTCAGCGTGGCGTGTGTTGGTGAGTCCTGGAAGGGAATCGACAGAGGAAGCTCTGGGGTGGAGATCTGGGCCTGGAGGGGAGATATGGGCCTGGGGTGGAGATATGATCCTGGAGTGGAGATCTGGGCCTGGAGTGGATTTATGGGCCTGGAGTGGAGATCTGGGCCTGGGGTGGAGATCTGGGGCTGGAGTGGAGGTATGGGCCTGGAGTGCAGATATGATCCTGGGGTGGAGATAAGGGCCTGGAGTGGAGATATGGGCCTGGAGTGGAGATCTGGGCCTGGGTGGAGATCTGGGCCTGGAGTGGAGGTATGGGCCTGGAGTGGAGATATGATCCTGGAGTGGAGATATGATCCTGGAGTGGATATATGGGCCTGGGGTGGAGATATGATCCTGGAGTGGAGATATGGGCCTGGAGTGGAGATATGGGCTTGGAGTGGAGATCTGGGCCTGGAGTGGAGATCTGGGCCTGGGTGGAGATCTGGGCCTGGAGTGGAGGTATGGGCCTGGAGTGAAGACATGATCCTGGAGTGGAGATATGATCCTGGAGTGGAGTTATGGTCTGGAGTGGAGATATGATCCTGGAGTGGAGGTATGGGCCTGGAGTGGAGATCTGGGCCTGGAGTGGAGATATGGGCCTAGAGTGGAGATATGGGCTTGGAGTGGAGATATGATCCTGGAGTGGAGATATGATCCTGGAGTGGATATCTGGGCCTGGAGTGGAGATTTGGGCCTGGAGTGGAGATATGGGCCTGGAGTGGAGATATAGGTCTGGGGTGGAGATATGGGCCTGGAGTGGAGATATGGGTCTGGGGTGGAGATCTGGGTCTGGATTAGAGATATGGGCCTGCAGTGGAGATACAAGTCTGGATTGGAGATCTGGGCCCGGAGTGGAGATATTGACCTGGAGTGGAGATCTGGGCCTGGGGTAGCGATCTAGGTCTGGAGTGGAGATATGGGTCTGGAGTGGAGATATGATCCTGGAGTGGAGATATGGGTCTGGGGTAGAGATATGGGCCTGGAGGGTAGATATGGGTTTGGAGTGGAGATATGGGCCTGGAGCGGAGATATGGGCCTGGAGGGGAGATATGGGTTTGGAGCAGAGATATGGGCCTGGAGTAGAGATATCAGCATGGAGTGGACATGTGGGCCTGATGTGTAGATCTAGGCCTGGGGTGCAGATCTGGATCAGGAGGCTGGGTCTCTGCACAGCTGAGATCCCTCTTGCCGGGGCAGGTAGGCAGCCAGGCTGAGTTTACCTTCAGCCCAGCAAGGGCCTGGCTGCCCAGACGCACAGCCCCGTGGGGGCAGCAGGGGAGGCCCTGGTTTGCCTGCAGATGGATCATCCATCATGATCTTTCTTTCCAGGGTTCTTCTTGGTCCAGAGGGCCTGTCCATACACGGGTGAGTCCTTCCCCAAACCTTAGGGTGTCATCTCCCCACCTAAGAGGATTTTCCTGAAACAGGAGGGAAGTCCTGTCGGACAGTCTCTCATTAACTAAGAAGGGGGGACCCTGGGGTGCTCGGCTCACACTTCTGACCTCGTCCTCTCTGGCCTTTCTTACCCTTGGCTGAGTCAAGCTCTGTGAAGACCGGGGTGAGCTCGGGGTGCTCCAAGCTGAGGTGTGCAGGGAGGAAGTGGTGTCAGCGGCTGAGGAAGGGAGGGAAGCAGTGCTAGGAACAGCAGGTCCTCTGAAGACAAAGGTGTAACTCACACCAGTGTTTGCCTGTCGGTCAGGGTTGCAGTGTGGCTGCTGTCATTCTACCAGAAGAGGTGGGGAAACCACAGCCATGACCCTGACATTCCAAATCTCTGATAGGGACTCAGTTCATGCACTGGCTGATGTTCCATTCACAAAGGACATGCCCTCCATGCCGTCTCTACTTTGTATTGTTTTATGTGAGTAATCTTGAAGTGTTAAAATCTAATAAGAGTCCCTTATTAAGCACTTGTTCAAAGTTCTCAGCTGACACCTTTGTTGTAGGGAGGCGCCATGTCCATGCTGCATAGGTTCTTCCTGTAGCCCTGGACACCCAGGTGTGGTAGAAGCCTTAGAAACATGGAAAGGGGAAGAATCTTCTGAGCACAGGGAGGGAGGGGCGACTCCACATCCTCCTCTCTAAGGTGGCGCCTCCTTCTCCCCCAGGTGGTCAGGACAAGACCTCCCTGTCTGCCCAACCCAGCGCTGTGGTGCCTCAGGGAGGACACGTGACCCTTCGGTGTTACTATCGTCGTGGCCTTTACAACTTTACCAACTTCACTCTGTACAAAGACGACAGAAGCCACGTTCCCGTCTTCCACAGCAGAATACTCCAGGAGAGCTTCCTCATGGGCCCTGTGACGCCGGCACACGCAGGGACCTGTCTCTTATACACATCTAGATGTGTATAAGAGACAGGGGCGAGACGCTGATGCCACCACCAGGCTGGAGCCACATAGGGAGGGAACGACAGGGAGAGTCAGGGGTGGAGGGAGAGAGAGAGAGAGCATTAGGTCATAGAGCAGGGGAGTGAGTTCTCAGCTCAGGTGTGAGGGGAGCTGTGACAAGGAAGAACCTCCCTGAGGAAACTGCCTCTTCTCCTTCCAGGTCTATATGA